ACATGCCCCGGAATGCACAGAGGACCACAATGAAAACATGCCTTTCTCGGGAGACAGTCACAGCAGGTGTAAGGGGACCACATGCCAGCGAGGGTGTCGGCTGCATGTGGGTGAAGGATCGATTTGACAGCCGGTTTAACAGAGTGGGCTCGGGTGTGGTGATGACAGACACCAAACAACACATCGTCCAGTCAATAAAGTGCGCTTTCTTGACAATTTTAACACAGCTTTTCGATAAGCCGCAGCTTTGCTTCTTACAGTTTGCAGTAGCGAGCGTTCGTTTCTTCAGCAAGTGTTTACTGCGCACCTGCTACCCTCGATCGCGCTGCACTCCGGGTAGCGTTACCCGTCATGTTCCAGGAGCTCCTCGTCAAGGGGCTCTTCCTGCCAGAAAGAACGGCAGAAGCTCACCTGCGCCAGCATGGCATCGACTCTGGGACTCACTTTCAACCTTCCCAGGCTTGTAAGCAAGGCCCCAGCTGGTCCCCGAGGGAAACAGCAAAGCAGGACCGGACAGGAGGAAGCTGGGGCCCCGCAACAGCAGCTCTAATGCTGCAAAGACTATTTCACAGGGAACTGGGCTTTTCACATGACTCCAGGAGACTCTGATATTGTCTAATCAGGGGCTGCAATCACCCAGCCTCCATATGCTGGGGGCAACCGCAAACTAAGCGCTGGGAAATACCATTTCAGGGACATTGTCCCTAGATGGCACTTGGAAATTGGATCACATCAGAATTTTGAGTCTGAGAAGCAGCAGTTTTATTCTGGGGGTAAGGAGTGTGGCAGAGTCCACAGGTGGGAGCATTTTCTGGGACTTGAACTAACATTAAGCCAAGATTCAAAACCCAGAAGTAACCAAAGCTGCTCAGTGGATAAGAGGATTTTTCAAAGTAACCTGTAGAGATCCATTCAGAAACTACATATTTTTAAAAGTATGCCTAGTGCAATAAAACCCAAATACGAAAATGTGCACCAAACTGAGCCTGTGTCAGCCCAGTACAAGTGGCTGGGATCCCTGCCCACCAATGCTGCCCAGAGAGTAACAACTGATCACAGATTCCTCAAAGACAGGAGCGCTCCGTATCTGCAGGGTCCTCTGAGCCCCCCAAGCGTCACTCGGATGGTGGGCATCAGTTTATGGAAACTGAAGTGCGAATTGTCTACAAGTGTTGGAACCTTTCACCACTTGAGATGCTTGCTGTTATCTTTTATAGACAGCACCATTTCCTTACACATTAAATTTCCTCAAAACCTTCGCATCAACGTCTGCCAGGCCTGGGACATTGTGGGTGCCACAGGAACGCAAGGCTGCATGTTCTCACGCCTGCCTGGGGTTGATGCGATTTGGAGACGGTGCACATTCAGAGGGACCCAGCATGGGTGAAATCCTGCCGTGCTATTCTAGGGATAACCTTCCATAGATTTATGATCAGGATTTGGGTAACTTCCTGGGATCGTCCGGGAACACGTGTCTGCAGTGTCAGGACAAACCTTCCCCCACGCACTGCAGCAGAGTCTGACCCAAGTGGGGAAACCCTGTGCTGGCCTCTCTCCCAGGTCCTGCTGAGTCGGCCCCCTTGTGGGAAAGAACATGGTGCCACCATCCAGGCTTCATTAGGGACAGCAGCTGTGCCCACGGTTTGCTGGGCGAGAGAACTGCTGGGAGCAGTTCTGAGCCTGCAATGGTGTCCTCGTGACCCGGGTCCCCTGGCACGCAGGACTTGCCGTCCGCCTCCTGACATGACTGAGGTCCTCGGGCTGAGCCTCCTCCTCACCCTCCTTTCCAATTAACACCCTCCCTGCACCTTCCTGCCTCCCCGTGCCCTCCCCGCTTCGGGTCTGTCCTCAGTCACGGCCCTACTGCCTCCTGGGCCTCCCACCCAACAGCCTTCTCCCGCCGAGGACCCCGCACCTACAGCCCCCAGCTAAGGCCCTGTCTGTTTTCTCTGTCGAATTCTGAAGGGGGCGCACACCGTCCAGCCCCTGGGGTCCCCTCGGTCCACGCCTCCCTGCGGCTGGGCTCTGGCTCTGCCGACCTGTGAAGCTGCTCCTCCCAGCACTGCCCACGTCTCCCGCCGGGAATGCTGCTCACCAGCAAGCGTCTTCCCTCCAGGGACTCCCTCATTCCTCCCAGAGGTGACTGCTCCACGAACCTTCCAAAGTCAGCTCGTACCAAAACACCCCTCCTCAGGGGTCTTCGCAGGGTCTCAGCCCTGCAGGCCGTGCACACGGACTCTGCTGTCCCTCCTCAAGCCGCTCACGCCCCCCGTGTCCCCGGCCCTGCGAACTCCTCCTGCTCCTCCTCCCTGTGCTGAGCTCGGCCTGCCACGTGCTTCTCCCGTTTCGCTGCACGCCCAAGGCCCACCACCCCGCAGGCTCCAGGACAAAGCCAGCACCGAGCCAGGGTGGAAACACTCTCTCCATCTTTGGAACTCCCAGGGCACATGTGGGTGAAAGGAGATCATTTTGTATGCATCTTTTAACAGAGCACCCAGCGCAGGGTCCCGCAGCCGTGTGGCGAGTACTGTCGTGGGACAGCAGCTTCTGCATGTGCTGGAGGAAGAATGTGCCCTCTGTCCAGGCGACCAGTGTCCACTCAAACCGGCCTCTGTCCTGCCTCTCCACTGGGAAGGAAGGAGCTGCAGGTGAGTAACAGATCATTTGAAGAGCTCTATTAATAATCTTCTGGGATGGGAGGAAGGTCATCTTTGAAATTAACTGTCAATCTTTGAGCTACAGAAGCTCGATCAGCTGCATGGTATTGAAAATGTTTAAAGACATCAGAATGCTCTGGGCCACAGCATTTAACGTCCTATACAGCACAGTCTCCACTGCCAGCTAAACCACAGCTGCCTCTGCTGAGTCCCTTCTCTGCACAGAAAGGCAGAGAATGGAGTGGTTTCTGCCAGGGGCATGATGAAGCGGCACGGCTGGAGGGACAAGGAGGCATCAGCACGTTTTAGAATGAGGAACCAGGTACTGCCCCACACCTCAAAGACACCTGCATAGGCCAGGGGAAAGAAAATGCTGATTTCATAAAGTGGGCAGTAAATGACTGGAAATCCTTACCCCGAGAGGTAGCTTGAGCTTGCTGAAGGAAATTAAAACGGAGACCACGCCTGAAAAGTCTCCGAGGGACAAGTCCAGGTATGCCTCACAGGTGACCTCACCTCGCTTGATCCGTACACAAGCAAAACTTAACCTCAGCTATTTCTTGCAAATGGTCATATTAAAAAACAAAAACGACAGAACTTAAGCTCAACCAGTCAGAAGGAGCCAACAAATTTATAATTATGTAACCAAAAATTATTACTAACCAGCTGTGCAACTGCAACCAACCAAGACCAAATGCTTTCTTTGCTTGACTTCTGAGTCCCTCCTATCAAAGCCTCCGCCTCAGGCCTCCGTGGAGCTCCTCAGCCGCTTCTGGTTTGGGGCTTCCAGATCCATGAACCTTTGCTCAAATAAACTGTAAAATTTTACTGTTCCTCAGGTTACCTTTTTTAACCACTTGGTGTCAGAAAAGTGGGATCTGAAGGAGATGCCAGTCACCTCCAGGAGCACGGAGTAGCCAGTCAGAGGTGCCCACGGGGCCATGCCTTGTGCCCGCTGCTCTCTGGCTGCATTTGGTGGTCGTCGGGTAAGTCTCTCTTGCGGCTGACTCTGCACCCACGTCTTGAGCTCTCCTACTTTGAGTAATTTTTGCTCCAGAAGTCAGACCTGGTCTCACAGGGACTGATTAAGTCCAGTCTAGAGCACTTGCTTCCAGGCTAGGCTTGGAATCCAGATTGGGATCTGGAGGTCGAACTCCAGGAACTGGACTGGGCCCAGTTGGAGGCCTCAGGTAAGTAAAACTTAGAAGGACAGGGTATCAGGGGTTTATCGTATCTATGGTTATGGAGTCTGTGACTCATCCATCTGGAACCCCAGCAAATTTTGTTCAGAAACTCTGGCCCCAGAGCTCGTGCCTTGCTAGAGAAATGGATGTGCCTCTGGGAGGTAACTTAGAGTTACAGCGGCCATATGAGGAGTTTTTATTCTAGATGAAATTATTCATCTATGGGCACATTAGAAAATAAAAAAGGGATCACAAATGCCTCAGAAACAATAACAGACTTGTTTTGATTGGTCTACAGAGGCTTCCAAAAAAGGATGAAAAAAAAAAAACCCTCTAAAGGAATCTCTACAGCATGCTAATAAGAAAATCACCTGAGTCTACTAACCTCTTTGATCTCTTGCCTTTTCCATCTGAATCTCCTTAACACAAACTTCCTTTAAAAATGAGAAGCTCAAATTTGAGGCATTAGATGACTGAAAATGAGTCAGGAGTATCTGTGACAACTGAGTTGAACCCCAAGTCCTGCATACAACTCTGAGCTATTATAAAAGCAACCACCAAAGCTAAAGAGGAAAAGGACTAATTGGAAATAAACTGGATGCCTCCACAGCCACTCACCTAAGGTTCAGTCCACAGGCTCAATAAGACTGACTGACAATATGTGACTGTGCCCCC